ACTGTTGCTCAAGTGATAAAGTGTTAGCCTTGAACAAAACAAAACTAAGAAAGAGTATGAGGCTTCGAGTATAAGCCCCAGAACTGGCACAAAAAAATAAATAAATAAAATAAAATTAGCACATATTTCAATTCTTGGTGGCACATAGCTGAGAAGTGTCCTTGGCATACCAGATAGAAGGTACTGATGGGTAAATACAAAAATAATCCATTCCTATTACAATATGTGTTCAAAGCTTCTGATTGCAACTCAAGGAGGAGATTTATTTTATACATATATATATTTTTTAATTTTATTTTATTGTAAGGATGCTGTACAGAGGGGTTACATGAGTAAGGTAATGAGTACATTTCTTATCACGGATAGTTACCCCCTCCCTTGTTGTTCTCCCACCATCCCTTTGCTCCCTCACCTCCCTTATTCCTCCCCACCCCTGAAGTTGTAAAGTTCATTTCAAATATAGTGTCTTGTGGGTATCATTGTTGCAATGGGTCATCCTGTGTCCTTGTTTCAGCATTTTGTTATTCCCCTTCCCCTCCCCAAATTAGATAAATGTATACACAAGATGCAAGATACCAAAATCAAGTACAGTGACAACAGGGGGAAGAACATACAAAGGAAACAACAAAAATCACATAGTACATTAGAAACAACAACAAAGAAAGACCTCTTGTGTCATAACTTGGGATTCATTTTACTTAGCATCATCTTACATGGTCATATGTACATAGTTTCTGAGCTTTTCTGTTAATCTGATAATAATCACAACAGAGTAGTCTTTAAAAAGAATAACTCGGTGAAGGTCTGTTGCCTCTAGTACTGAAAACAAACTTCAAAATATTTCTGTCTTCTATGTGAAAGACTGTATTGCTTCATCTTTCCCTATTTGGATCCCCTTTATGTTTGCATCTTGTCTTATTGCCTTCTAATACTAAATTAGAGAAGTGGAGAGAGTGGACATCCTTGTCTCATTCCTGAGTATAGAAGAAATGGCTTTAGCTTTTCTCCATTAAGTATAATGCTGGCTGTAGGTTTGTCATACACAGCCTTTATTATATAGAGGAATGTTCCATGGATTCCTAGTTTTTCTAGAGCCTTCATCACAAAGGGGAGTTGGATCTTGTCAAATGCTTTTTCTACTTCTATTGAGGTAAATATGTCGTTCATATCCTTGATCTTGTTATGTGATGTATTAGATCAATTGATTTGTGTATATTGAACTAGCTTTGCATCCCTGAAATGAATCATATTTGATCGTGGTGTATGATTTTTTTGATGAGTTGTTGAAGTCGATTGGCCAAAATTTTGTTGAAAAGTTTTGCATCAATGTTCATCAAAGAAATGGGTCTATATAACTCTCTTTCTTTGATGTGTCCTTGCTTGGTTTTGGGAGGAGGGTTGTGATGGCTTCGTAGAAAGAGTTTGCATGGCAAAGGACATAGCTAGCAAGATCAATAGAAAATCAGCCAGTTGGGAGATCTTCACTAGTCATACATACATCAGACAAGGGTCTCATATAAAATATACGTAGAACTCAAAAAACTAAATCCCTCAACAGCAAATCCTCAAAGAAACAACTGCCTGATAAATAAGTGGGATAAAGAATTAAAGAGAAACTTCTTTGAAGAGGAAATAAGAGTGGTCTACAGACACATGAAGAAATGCTCAACCTCTCTAGCAATGCAAATCAAAACAACATTGAGATTCCACCTCACCCCAGTTAGAATGGCTATAATCAAGAACTCTAACAACAACAGATGCCGGAGGGGATGTGGCCAGAAGGGAACCCTACTGCATTGTTGGTGGAAGTGTAAACTTGTTCAACCACTTTGGAAAACAGTATGAAGGTTCCTCAAAAGACTACACATAGAGCTTCCCTAGGATCCAGCAATCCCACTTTTGGGCATTTACCTAAACGATCACAAACAAGGCTCTGCTAAAGCTACAACACAACTATGTTTATTGCAGCATTATTCACCACAGCTAAGATATAGAATGAACCCAGATGCCACTCAGTAGATGAATGGATCAAGAAAATGTGGAATGTATATATACAATGGATTCTAAGCCTCCATCAGAAAGAATGACATTGTCCCATTTGTTCAGAAATGTAAAACTTGGAAAAAATTATATTAAGTGAAGTAAGCCAGGCCAAAAGAAATATAGGTCCCAGGTTTCCCTAGTTATTTGCAATAACTAGTATATGTCTAAGACAAGCAGAAAGGGTCAAAAGCTATGGATATATGACCATATAAGATGATGTTAAGTGAAATGAACCACAAGATAGGGACACAACTATTTTTTCTTTCTTGCTATTGTTTTTAATGTATCTATAACGTACTATGTGATTTTTTGTTTCTCTTGTATGCTCTTCCCCCACCATGGTTCTAAGACCTGTTTTCACTGTATTTGACATGGGTGCCCTGCATCTTGTATATACATTTTTCTAATTTGGGGAGGTGAAGGAAAATAAAATGTTGAAACAAGGATACACATGGGACCGCTACACAGTAGCACAAGCTTCATAGGGGGCTGACATTGGAAAAAATGGAGTTACAGGCTATCCTGGGTAAAAAAATTCACTTGAAAAAAAAAAAAGCTAATCCAAGAACTGATGGCTCACACCTGTTATCCTAGCTACTCAGAAGGCTGAGAGTTGAAGATTGCAGTTCAATGCCAGCCCAGGAAGGAAAGTCCATGAGATTCTTATCTCCAATTAATCACCAAAAAAACAGAGGTGATGCTATGTCTCAAATTTGGTACAATGCTAACCTTTAACAAAAAAGCTCGGGATAGCACCCAGTCCCTGATTTCAAGCCCCAAGACTGGCAGAAAAAAAAGAAGCTAGGTATGGTGGCACATGTTTGCCATTTCAGATAAAATAGGAAGCCTAAAATAGGCAGATCATGGTCCAGACATATGGTTGGCAGGAAGTAAAACCCTAGCTAAAACAAGTGCCTAAAGGGATAAAGGCATGGCTCAGAAGTATGAACAAAGTGCAAAGCCCCAAGCTCAGACTCCAGTACTACAAAGAAAAGAATGCAGAGAATCTGGATGCAAAAAGTATAAATTAATACACCACACAAATTTAAACTATCTATAATGGTAAACTAACATAATGAGAGAGGGCAACACAAAAACTTACAGCTCAAATTTTCAGTAGTGAGGTGTCATGAGGACTATTTAGAACACTTCTAAACTTCCTCATCAACAATACATGTAGGATTTACACAACCAAGTATACAATGTGCAATGAAGAAAAAAATCAATAAATTTCAAAAGTATATATCATGACCCAGGTGCTTGCTCACACCTGAAATCCTAGCTACTCAGGAGGCTAAGATCTGAGGACTACAGTTCAAAGCCAACCTGGACAGAAAAGTACGTGTTATTTTGATCTCCAATTAACCAGCAAAAAGCCTGAAATGCAGGTGTTGATCAAGTGGTAGAGAACCAGTCACAAGTGGAAAAGGCAAGTGAGAATGCTAGGCCCTGAGTTCAAGCCCCAGTACCAACACAAAACATTCTCATCTCTGAGAGCAATATAATATACAAATTAGCCTTCAAGTATGTTTAAAAGCTTAAATATGCATTATTTACCTGCTCAAAGCACAAATTATAACATAAATAGAAAGATATTGAAAATTGAGCTTTGACATATATGTGTATCAAAACTATAAAAATAAAGGGGAAAAACAGAATGTTTGGGAAAGCATATAGCTTGAAGATTTATATTACAAAAGAAAGTATAAATAATAATAAGTTAATAATCCAAAGTAAAGAAAATTAGAAAAAGACCAAAATGACCCTGATTATATGCCAGGAAAGTAATTATAACAAAAATGTACATAAAAAATGAAAAAAGAAGAGATTGACATAAACAAATAATGATCTTTTAAGCAGAGAAATACATGACAAGATTTTACAAAAATAGAGAACAGGCTGGGCACCACTGGAACATTTCTGTAATCCTAATCACTTGGGAGGTTAAAATTGGGAGGACTGAAGTTTGAAGCTAATCTGGGCAGAAAACTTTGTGGGACTCTAGCTTCATGAAAGGCTGAAATTGGGAGGACCACAGTTCCAGGACAGCACTGTCAGAAAGTCCAGTAAACTCTATCTCAATTGAGGGAAGCTAGGTGCAGTTGTGTCTACCTGTTATCCTAGCAATTAAAGAAAGCCTAAAAGTTGTTAGTGGAGGCCCAGATAGATGCCTGGGCAGGAAACAAAACCCTATCTCAAAATTTACCAGTGCAAAAAGGGCTGGAGAAGAAACCCTACTGCACTGTTGGTGGGAAATGTAAACTAGTATAACCACTCTGGAAGGAAGTTTGGAGTTTTCTCAAAAAATTAAACATAGAACTTCTCTATGACCCAGCCATACCACTCTTGGGCATCTACCCACAGCATCACAAGTCAGGATACAGTAAAGACACTTGCACATCCCTGTTCATTGCTGCATTATTCACAATAGCCCTACAACAAATGAGTGGATCAATAACATGTGGTATATATACACAACAGAATTTTTTGCATCCATTTGGAAGAATAAGATTAAGTCATTTGCAAGGAAAAGATCTAGAACAAATCATTCCAAGCTCAGAGAAATAATAATTGGTGTGTATGTTTTCTCTCATATGTGAAAGCAAAATCTAAAATGTAACTGTATATGATAACCTACATGGTACTGTAGGCATTCACACACAATCAGATTAGAGGAGGATACCTTTAGTGGAGGAACCCAGAGGTGTAATTTCGCTGAACATTTAAAATACTATTTACTGAAATGAACTCTAAAAGATGGAACTCTGGGTTTGTTGTTGTTGTTATTGTCATTGGTGGTGTTAGTTTTTGGTTTTACATTTTTTTCCCTTTGGAAGAGGGGGGAAGAAGCACAGAAAAGGAGAAAGGAAAGGTGAACAAATTCAATTATGCTATTCAGCATACACTATGTGGAAAATAACCTATGCAACTTATGGGCAAGGGGGAACTGGGGGAAAGTAAAGGAAGAGGTGATATTGTCTAAAGAAAAATATGTATTCATTACCTGACTTATGGAATGGTAGCCCCTCTGTACAGAACCCTAATAGTAACAATAAAATTACTTTTTTATCTATTTTTATTGTGAAAATACTGTACAGAGGGGTTACAATTACATAGGCAAGACAATGCGTACATTTCTCATCAAGCATTGTAGCCTCCTCCTTTGTTTCACCTTCCCATCCCTTCCCATCTCCCCCCCCCCTTCACCCCCCCACCAAAGTTGTAAAGTTCGTTTGTCTCATTGTGGCAATAGTTCCACCTGTATCCCTATTTAAATGATTTGTTTTTTTTCCCTTCCCATCCACAATTTATAACAACATCAAATTCAGTGAAAGCAGAGGTTATACCGTGGGGGAGTTACATACAAATCAACAAAGAAATAATCTTATAATTGTGTTAGAAACAATCGCATGAAAGAAAAAAAAAACATTTGAATATATAAAAAGGGCTGGAGATATGGTTCTGCAACTGAATGCCTACCTGGCAAACTTCAAACCTCACTATTGCCAAAAACAGAAAAGGAAAGGAAAAGCACAAACAAGCAATACTTGCCAAAAAAAGAGTACATAACTACATAGGATGAAAATATTTGATAAATAAGAGAAACCAGGTACAACACCACACATTAGAAAAATGATAAACGAAAAAATGTAACTAAATTAAGCCTAAATGCATTAAAAGATGAAATCAGTTAGGTGCCCATGGCTCACGCTTATAATCTTTTCAGCTCATCAGGCTAATATATGAGAATTGAAGTTCAAAGCCAGCCCAGGTAAGAAAGTCTGAGATTTATCTCCAATTAACTACAAAAAAAACCCAGAAGTGGAGTTGTGGCTCAAATAGTATAGTGCTTGCTAGATTTGAGAAAATAAATAAATAAATAAATAAAAAAGATCATGGATACCTTCCAGGCCCTGATGTCAAACCACAGGACAAGCACACACAGAGAAAGGTGAAATCAGTTGTATAAAAATGTATATCAAGCCAGGCACCAGTGGCTCAAGCCTTTAATCCTAGCTACTCAGGAGGCTCAGATCTGAGGATCGTGGTTCAAAGCCAGCCTGGGCAGGAAGCTCCATCAGACTCATATCTTCAATAAGTCACTCAGAAAACCAGAAGTGGTGCTGTGGCTCAAGTGGTAAAGCGCTCACCTTCAACTAAAGAGCTGAGAGATGGCACCCAGGCCCAGAGTTCAAGCCCCACGACTGAAAAAAAATCTATATCAAATTCCAAAGTAAAAACTATAATTAAAAATATCAGGATCAGATATATTTCAGTCCACTCCTAGGCAAGACACATGAGCAGGAAGAGATCTCTGTGACACAAACATATAGTGATGGCTGAAAGCTATGTGTGAAGTTGGAACAGGGGAAGAAGAGTTGACATCCAGGCAACTCTTAAAGTTGAAAAAAAAAAACAGATCTTAATCCTAAAATACTTTAGAAGCTTGTGTCATTCTGATAGTAGCAACATCAATAATAAAATTAGGAGCCAGCTCGAATCCTGAATAAACTCACCCAAACTTTTACATGCTATTCCAAGTCAACAGAAGAGTCATACACATTTTCAGATATGTAATATGCTAAAAGGGTCTAGTGGCAAAGGATACTACATATATGACCAGATGGGCAATTTCAGCAGAAAACTGGATACTGTTTGAGTCAAATGGGACCACAGTCCAGGAAATATAAATGCAATTACAAATAATGGAGAGAATGCACAGACCAACTGAGGACACAAACACAGACAGATTTGAGGACATCAGAGGAAGCATTCAATTAGTGATCAATTTATCTTTAGTTTTTTTTTTTTTTTTTGGTCCGGTCCTGGGGTCTGAACTCTGGGCCTGGGCGCTGTCCCTCAGCTCTTCAGCTCAAGGCTAGCGCTCTACCACTTGAGCCACAGCGCCACTTCCGGCTTTTTTCTTTCTGCTTATGTGGGGCTGAGGAATCGAACCCAGGGCCTCAAGCATGCAAGGCAAGTGCTCTACCACTGAGCCACCTTCCCAGCCCCAATTTATCTTTACTTTTATCATCTGCTATTGCTAGACCTGGATTCTGGTTTCAAAGACAGAAACATACAAGTGCACAGAATATGCTGAAACAAAGAGCTCCTGGAGAAGTTAAGTTTTACTTTTTTTTTGGTCAGTCTTGGAGCTTGAATTCTGAGCCTGGGCATTGTCCCTGAGCTCTTCAGCTCAAGGCTACCATCCTATCACTTGAGCCATAGCTCCACTTCCAGTTTTCTGGTAGTTAATTGGAGATGAGTCTCACTGACTTTCCTACTTGGGATGGCTTTGAACTGCGATCCTCAGATCTGACCCTCCTGAGTAGCTAGGATTACAGGCGTGAGCCCCCACTGTACTATACTATACTAAGAAGATAGATAAAGATTGCTAAGAGGCACTAGGGAAAATGTCCAGGTGAATCTTTTAAATTCTTTCTCTAGATCTTCTTTTGCATCTCAGATCTCCATGCAGTTGAAGTGACACAGAAAGGAATAATGTGTGTCTGGAAAGTCCTAGAACTTTGAGGGAAGACAATCACTCTTTCTGACCACAGGTGCTAAGATCTTAAGATCAATGGACAAATTCCAATAGCCTTTCTTCCTCTGTGTCTGCTTCTCTCTCTCTCCCTCTCTCTTTCCTCTCTGCTTGAATGCACAAATAGTTCCAAGAAGGATATGAAGAGAGATTATGGCTCAGAGCTGGAAAAATTAATCACTGAGAGAGGAGAGATGTAAAGAACAATGCTGTATATTCATACATGAACTTCTGACTTCATTTCCCTGCTAGCCAGGCATGTTTATTACTGTGCCAGTACCTAGAGACCTGAGCTACAGGTTAGAATATTTCCCAGGTTTCATGTTCAACAGGTTAAAAATGACTTTAGAAAATCTAGAATCTGACAGGTACTAAAACCATAGTGCACAGGATACAGGTTACAATTTGTCAACTTGGACATAGTAGTGAATTGTCTGCTTAAAAAGATCATGCAGAACAAATCAACATTCTCCTTAGAATTTAAACAGGATTCATAATCTCATGACATAATACTCATAGTGTCCAGGATACAATCCAAGGTCATTTGGCATAGAAAAAAAGAAAATAAATGAGAGGAGAATTTTGACTTGTAAGGAAAGATAGTTGATAAATGGCAACTCTGAGAAAACACAGATGGAGGAATTAGGAGACAAATCTAGGAGACAAAAATTAGTTGACAAGGGCTGGGAAAGTGGCTCAGTGGTAGAGTGCTTGCCTTGCATGCATGAGGCCCTGGGTTCGATTCTTCAGCACCACATAAGCAGAAAAAGCCAGAAATGGTGCTATGGCTCGAGTGGTAGAGCACTAGCCTTGAGCTGAAGAGCTGAGGGACAGTGCCTAGGCCTAGAGTTCAGGCCCCATGACCACCCAAAACAAACAAAAAAAATTAGGAGACAAAAAGTCACTTAGTACCATGTATATATATGCCCAAAAAGCAAGTGGAAATACATTGCACAGATGAACAGGTAAGAAAGAAGAGGAAATATAATTACCTATTGCTGGGCATCAGTGGCTCATGCCTATAATCCTAGCTAGTCAAAAGCTGAGATCTGAGGATCAAGGTTCAAAGCTATCCTGGGGGGAAAAAAATTGAGGCTTTTATCTCGAATTAACCAGCAAAAAGCTGCAAGTGGAGCTGTAAATCAAGTGTTAGAGCTCCATCAGAAAAGCTCTTGGATAGTTCCCGGTGCCAGAGTTCAAAGTCCCACTTTCAACACATCCACAAAAAAGAAATATAGGAAAGAGCACAATGGAAATTTGATAACTGAACAAAATAAGCAAATATTTTTTAAATTACATAACAAGATCAACTGCAGAACAGAGATGAAAGAAGAAAGAGAAAAATCATTGGAAACAAAAGATAGTTCTTAGGAAACATTAATAAAATTATGAGTGTGGTAATATAAATATGGACACAGTAAAGAGAAAAGATTAAATAACAGATAGAGGCCAATTGACACAAGGCCATTTGATTTTTAAAATAATTTTATTTTGGTAAAATATATGCCTGCTTTCCTCGTACTCTCAAATTTTATTCCATTGAGTGGAGCCTTCTCATTATTATGTTAAAAAGCCTAACAATACCCTACCCTCCCTTCCCAATGAGAACCATTGAATGAAGATGCCACATTACTAAGTACCCATAGCATCCCCTAACAAGGTGTTGGAAACAGCAACTGGAAAGATGGTGGCATTCTGAGTAAGCCTGGGAGTATTTGTTTGTAGTTTAAGTTGGTGACATAGAATTTGAGGTGAGAATGTGGCATATGGAAAATTAAACTGAAAACAAGATGGTGTATTGAGTGACCTTTTGTGCCGTGTTATGGAATTTTCCGCTTACTAAATAGGTAACCTGGAATTATTGGGGGATTGTTTGTGGTGGTATTAGAGCTTGAATTGGGGACTAAGCTAATGCTCTACCTCTTGAGCCCCAAACCCCTTTTTTGCTCTAATTATTTTTCAGACAGTCTCCCATTTTTTGCTTTCAGCCAGCCTCAAAACATGATCCTATGCTCCTATGCCTACCACATAGCTAAAATTACAGACATGCTTCTCCACATCTATGCTGGTTGGTGAGATGGAGTCAGGATGTTCTAGGACAGGTGAAAAGAGTAGATGAACACCATTCCCTTTTCCAAAATGATCTGCTTCTTTGGCTGACATACAAAGAAATCCATTTTAGTATATTATGCCTGTAGTAAGGGGAGACTCAGATAGTAGCAATGAATAATAACAATGCTGTGAAGTAACTGAGGTGAATGCTGAAACAGGTGTGCTTTCTATATTTATACATTTGATGTTTTTCTGGATGAGACTGAATTAGAAAGGGAATTAGGACATGAAATTCAGAAGATCTCATAAACTATTAAATTGATGAAAGACAAAATGAAGGAATTATGTGGATGGATAGTGTCTAGTTAAACATCCTGGATAGATAATGGTGTCAGGGAAGAGGGAGAAAGAGGGTGAAAGACAGAAAGACAGAGACAGAAACAGACAGAGAGAGGAGGGGGGAATTCAAGGCCAGCTCAAGGAAAGTTAAGGACTGTCCATCTCAAAATCAAAATACAAAGAAGCAGAGATTGGGAGGACTATGATTTTAAACAGCCCGAGAAAAGAGTTAAACACATGGACCTATTTTTCCAGCTATCTGGGAAGCAGAGATAGGATGATCAGAGGCTATGAACAGCTCTAGCTAAAACATGTGAGAACCTATTTGAAAAAAATTAAAGCAAGAAAAGACTGGGGGCATACATCAAGTGGTAAAACACCTGCCTAGCAAGTAAAAGGCCTTGAGTTCAAATGCCATTACCACCATCAACTCCACAGGAAAGAGCACGTGGCACAACTAAGGAGGGAGAGTACTTACTTAGCAGGTGATAATTGCTAGGTTCAATCCCTACTATCACAAAAATAGCCATTTCAAGTCTCTCAAGTCCTCCCCCATTGCCTTAGTTTTCCCTATCCTCTCTCTTGCTTCTCCTCACCCATCAAATATTACCTGATATAGAAATAGACTTCAAGGAACTTCCTTCAGTGTCATGGGCCTAAATCTATTTTCTCTGATCCTCACTCTTAATGTATTTGTTGTCAAAAAATTTAATAATAATTTTGAGCATCCTTAGAGGAAGCCATGTTCATGTATTTACTTTTACCTCCATCTATGAATCCTAGCTCTCCTGCCCTACTCCGCTCCAGCAAATTTCTTCACATCTAGTAGTGTTAATGACTTCCAGATATTTATAGAGGACCATGTGGTCTATTTGCTCTGCTTCCTCATCAAGTATGTCTAGAGAAGCATAGCTCCTTTAATCTTTCCCTGCCAATCAGACTTTTCTACTTCATAAATCATGTCTACAGTTTCTCTCTGACTTCCTTCCCTGTGTCCTTATAATTCAGAGCTTCTGATGGCCCCATACTAACTCAGACATTCTAGGTGCCATGTCATCAAAGTCACGTCGTTCCATGACACAGTGTCTCTCAGAACACTCTTGGAAAAAACATTGGCCTCTTTCAGTTACCTTATCATATTGCAAAACCATATCTAATACGAGAAAAGCTCATCCCCACACACACACTGTTACTCAATCCCATAGAGAGCCACATGTTCACATATCTCAGGCCAAAAATAATATATGATGGCGAGCAGTGGCAATGTTGTCAGGAAGTATTCCCAAACTGACCAGAGAAGAGCTGACCATTTTTCCTCATATTTCTCTTTCTGCAAGTAAGCTAAAAATTTCTTTTCTTCTCAGTCTTCCACTTGTTATACAGCCCCTAACATGCATGCAACACCAATAATATGGTCTTTGGGTTGCTTGTGATGTACAGACTTTCCTGTTCATGATGACATTTTCCTAACTATACCCCATTTTAGGATTCATGCTACTTACACTTAAACTAGGAGATCTAACATAGTATTATTGTAGAGCAGTAGTAAGAACTTATTGGGTTCATTGCCTATTATTATTTAAAGAAAA